TTGGATGTTCTTCTTAGCCTTCTGCGGAATATGATATTGTCTCAGGCTTACTGGATAAACCCCAAGTTTTAGTTCGATTTTAATAGGTGGAATATTGCGGGCCAGTCCTGGTGGGTTGTTCTCTGCCCAAACTCCTGGTATGTTAAATAAGGATTCATCACTCCTCGGGTTTTGGCTAGTCAACACTGTATAAAGTCGCCACTCTTCTTCCTTTGGTACGGACAATGTCATAATACCTGAGGGTCCATTAAACTTTAAGGATGTTGTTCCATTTGGTAGGAACGTAATCTGCGCTTGTAATTTGGATAGCACATCACGTCCCAGCAATTGGACTGGACACTCAGGCATATAAAGGAATTGATGTTTTACTACGTGGCCTCCCAATGTACAGAGTCGACTTTTAAGAACCGGTTTTTCAGCACTTCTTCCAGTTGCTCCTATTACAGTAATAGTTCTTCCAGATGGAGGAGCAACTAGATTAGTCACCACCGAATGTTCAGCACCAGTGTCGATCATAAACGCACTCCTTTTTCCCCCTATTGATACATCGACCATAGGCTCCGCTCGACCAAGGGGGATGGAGCCCGGTCGGTATCAATAGTCCTCCATGACCGTGTCAGCCAATCCCACAAAGTCCCTACCTTCTCTATCGCGGGACCTTTGCGCTGCTGGATAGTACCTATCTTCCCTTACACTTCCTCTGTTCCCATTACTCCCTCTATTACCATTACTCCCTCTATTACCATTACTCCCTCTATTACCATTACTCCCTCCGGGGCCTCCTCTACCTCTCGCTCTGCCTCTAAAGTTTCCATAACCTGCCCTGGGTAAGTCTCTCTCATACTGCTCTCTTTGCGGACACTCATTCCTCCAATGCCCTTCTTCCTTGCAGTACGCGCACTGATTCCTACTCAAAGGCTCCCTATTCCATCTACCATCGCCTCTATCTGAGCCCCGTCTATCTACGCCTGCGATCGCTACCGCTAACATATCTGCCTTTCTACGCATCTTGCGCTCTTCCTCTTTCTTACTTTCTGTTTCCCTATTCATATATACTTTGTTCGCTACCTCCATTAGTTGGGTGATAGACATACCTGCAAACCCTTCTAATTTCTGTAGCTTGCGCTTAATATCTCCGTAAGCTTGGCTGACAAAGGCGGAGTTTACCATTCGGAAATTATCAGCGTCTTCCGGATTAAAGGGGGTATACAAGCGGTATGCCTCCAGTAATCGGTCATAAAAGACACTGGGCGCTTCATCACTTTTCTGAATCACCTCAACTGTCTTCGACATGTTAATAGCTTTCTTCCCTCCGGCTTTCATGCCAGCAATTATAGCGTCTCTATAGGCTTTAAGTTGAGCCATATCTGCGCCATTTACATTCCAGTCAGGATCGGTGTTAGGGTAATGTGTTGCGGCCCATGCTGCCGGATTGGCTTGATTTAAAGCACGGGCTCTCTCCTCTAGCGCCTTAATGGCCGCTTGGTTAATCCTTGTCCTTTCCTCATTATTGAACAATGTCATTAATAACTGCTGGCAATCAGCCCATGTCGGGTTATGTGTCTGAACTATCGAGGTGAACAGATCGGTCATAGCTTGTGGTTTCTCAGTGTACGAGGAATTGTGGGTCTTCCAATTCAAGAGATCGGTAGTCGTGAACGGGACATATACGAAGACTGGGTCAGCATGTGCCATTTGACCTGCGGCATCGATATAGGCTGACCCAGGATTCAGACGAAGAGGCATCTGATAATGTTTTAATTGTTGGGTACCGGTCAGTTGTCGGGTTAGTATGGGGCTACGTGGAGGGGCGTCAGTTAAAGGTTCCGGTCGAGAGGTAATAGGGCATGAGGATGTGGGAACTTGATTTTGTGAAAAATTAGTGAATAGTATACTCTGAGCCGAGCTAGAAGAAGCTTGACCGGAAGTTTGAAGTGGCGCCAAATCAGGATATTCAGATCTAATGGGGGTTGGTCCTGGTTCAGGAAGGGGAGTTTTAATACGAGGGGGGGTGGATTCTGTACTGGAGGAGGAAGCGGAAGTGGATGGGGGCAATAGGGGAAGGGGTGCAGAACTTCCTGCATTCGCGTCACTTCCTCTTAAAGGGAAGTAAGGGGGCGGCAAAGGGATCTCGGACTCAGGGGGCGTGTCCAAAATGGGCCTAACACCGGTCCTAGTGGACAAATAAGTCCTGGCCACCATGAGGCGACATTGCTCCTCGTGGCATATCCGGATCCATTTTGGCGAGTCGTTTACGGCCTGCCTCCAACAATCAATGTATGGAAACTGTCCGTAAAGTTCAGGCCTACCTGACACAGCCACGTGTACACGCTGTACCAGGGTTGGATCCAAACTGCCACGCGGCGGCCATGCCGCAACCAAAGTAGGCCACTCCCTAGTGCACAAAGTGACCAAACGAACAGGAGACATTTTAACCCCAAAATCACATATTTTGAATCCCTTTTTAAAATTCTTTACCATACAACCTAAGGGATCCGAAATCGCTGACTCTGACGCGCCCATACTTATCAATGGAACGTCGTTGACAACGAATACTATGCACGCGTTCTTATTCAACAGTCACACCCGTTTCCTCTGGCAACAGCACCACGTGGTACAGTTACCAAGTGAAACGTACACAATAACACAATAATCACTCAGGGAATTCCCGTACACACACAGCTGTTACACCAGTCGCTAAATAATCAATATTATGCCCTTTGGCGAAACTATACAGTCACCCACGCTATAATTCTCTATATATGAATTACCCGTCTATAACACACCCCAGTAACATCGTCTTTTACTAGTATCGGTTACAGTACGGTTAGCATAGGTCAAAGCACAATTTAAGGTCACAATACAATTATTAGTGGTTACGGTGTTAAACATGCAATAGACGACAATGATTAGTACTTATATACAGTGTCAGTAAATATACAGGGTTATGGTACCGTGCACTATGATACAGCAACACACTATTAACACTCTCGCTAGACGGCTGAGCTCGCGCTATCTAACAAGATATACACTTTACTAACAATCTTTAACACATTTACAATCCCAACTAAACTATTGGCCAGTACCTTGAATGGACTACCTAAAACTATATACACCCGTTTTGGTTAGCCACACTGCCCAAGCACCACATATAGCGAACTAGAGGGCGAATTTACAAAATTGCCCTTCTAGTCTATTTACTCTATCAAAAGTCTAGTGGGTTCCAAATTTACACGCCTTCCCACTTAGCCAAGATAGGTTGAGAGCTAGCGAACCGAATTTACACAGGCGCCGCTTAGTCTCCCGGTCCCTCCGACCTAGCGAACGTAATATACACCCTAGAACGCTAGTCTAGACAAGACACCGGTGTCCGGCTAGGGCTATTTACACAGGACCCCGCCTGACTAACCAGATCAAACGGTCTTACTAAAGAGCGTTCGATCGAGCGGTGCGCCTTCGCTCCTTCCCTCCGACAGAGGGGGCAGATTCCATACACAGATTTAAACCCCTTTTGGGCCTACCGCACAATCGGTATACCCCTAGTGGGTCTGCCGTCTAAAACAGCAGTTGTCTTACCTCCTCGTTCCTGAACCTGAGTTCACACTCATCGACGGGGACACCCCAGCACTTCTTACGTAGAGGCCGATGATCTCCTGGACAACAGACCAGTGGCGCCGAGACGAAGGGAGGTCCACGCAGAAGTTCAGGGGTGCAGCCGTAGAGAACGTGGGCAAAGATAGACCGTCTCACGCCTCTGCCTCTCAGCTACCGTTGAACGATGAGCTTCCCGGCCAATGCACCAAATGATACCGGAGAAACTGACGGAAGCAAAGCACAGAGGGATGGACACAGGTTTCTTCAGGAAGGAAGAGATTCTTTATTGGATCACCGATCGGGACTCAGAGGGACTAATGTCACCAAAAATACAGCAAGTTCTGAGCCCTGAACAATAGTGCAGGCTCCCTATATAGGCACATAACTCCTCCCATATTAAGCTCCACCCGCACATTCTCTTGACCAATCATTACAAATAAGAATTAACTTCCTGCTTGACCACATGGCTTGTCCAGCACAATGGAGGAGGGGAATACTACATCCTGTATTCTTGCACATGCTCCGTACACTACTGATCGTATCTTGCCTCGTGCAACCAACTGATCGATACGTCAGCATATGCACGTACACATGCCATGTGGTAATCTCGGCCTACTAAATTTATTTTTACCGAGATTCCACCACAGTTCCAAAATAGATGCACAGTAAGGTATAAAAGGTTGTAACAAAATATATAAAAATCCTTGCTCTTCTGAGCACCAACTAAACAAAATATTTAGCTAACTGGGTTGGATGGCTTGTCCATTTCCCAACATAAACATAAACAACAACCTTACTGTTTCAGGGGTTTTTCAGCTCTCTGTTTCCACTCACAGAAATCAAACACAATCTCTCTCCTCCTTTGGCAGGGGAGTACTTAATAGCACCTGTAATTAACAATCCTTTTCAGGTGAGTTAAATTAGGATTGAAACTCTGGAACTGGGCTTCTCACCTGTAGGTGTGGTGGAATCTCGGTAAAAATAAATTTAGTAGGCCGAGATTACCACGTGGCATGTGTACGTGCATATGCTGACGTATCGATCAGTTGGTTGCACGAGGCAAGATACGATCAGTAGTGTACGGAGCATGTGCAAGAATACAGGATGTAGTATTCCCCTCCTCCATTGTGCTGGACAAGCCATGCGGTCAAGCAGGAAGTTAATTCTTATTTGTAATGATTGGTCAAGAGAATGTGCGGGTGGAGCTTAATATGGGAGGAGTTATGTGCCTATATAGGGAGCCTGCACTATTGTTCAGGGCTCAGAACTTGCTGTATTTTTGGTGACATTAGTCCCTCTGAGTCCCGATCGGTGATCCAATAAAGAATCTCTTCCTTCCTGAAGAAACCTGTGTCCATCCCTCTGTGCTTTGCTTCCGTCAGTTTCTCCGGTATCATAGGTTCTAGGGAACTACCAAAATGTGGAGTAGAGCACTGGCCCACCCTACTCTCCAAGTGCTCCACCCCAGGGCCCAAATATACACATATTTAAAGTACAATATTCATTTTAACATAACACATTTCCCTGGGGCTAATTACACAAAGTAGGAACCTTGCAAAATCTGGGGAGATATATAGATTCCCTCCAGCACAATTCCTTGCTTTTGGTCACAGTGTGTATCTGTGAGTGTATCTATAGAAGTGTATCTGTGAGTGAGTCTATAAGTGTGTATCTGTGAGTGTAAATATAGAAGTATATCTGCGAGTGTGTATCTGTGATTGTGTCTATAGGAGTGTATCTGTGAGTGTGTCAAGTCACTTTTTCACAGTAAAGAAAGCCTGTATAAAACCTAAAATTACAATTGTGACAGACCTCCCTGTTTCTGGATTTTACAACTCTTTGTTCTCTTTGCATGTTTGTTCAGTGAAATACATCCACTACATATTTCAACTTTGCCCCGTTCGAATACCGAATAATCTACCGAACGGCCGACCACCCATGTGCGGAGTGTGCCACTTGTTGACCCCATTAACCTCGCTAACACCCCTAACCACAAGCACCTCAACATTCTAAGCGGTTGGCTGGGTGTCGTCGTTCGTATGTGCAAACACGAGGCGGCGGCCATCTTGGACACTCGTTGTCGCGAACACCGCTAAGACTTCCATACGCAAATATGTTCGGCACTATTTATACGAACGAAAGAAATTATTATTTGCATTACAGATACTCTAGAAATGTATTCACGAACTCGTATTTGTATATAACACTGTGTGTTAGATGTTCCTGTGTTTGTGTTTGGTCTAAACTATACTCCGGTGGCATTTCAGCTATATTCATGGAATCTGAGTAATTTCGACATATGTTGGATGCTCAGACCCAGGCTATCTGGGGATATAATACTTGTAGGGATATCTTATTGTTAAAACTATATTTTGAGGTATTTTTATTATGCTTGTCCTGGACCTGAGTGGTAATGTAATTATGTGTGTGCTTATGTTGCTGTCCCCTCTCAGGCCCAGTGAGGAATGCCCCTGGAATGTGTCACCAGAAACCCCTTGCATGAGGACTTGCATAAAAGGCCAGCTGTGCCTCCCATTAAAGCAGTTCCAGTTTTACCCTCACACAAAGCCTTGTCTTGTGTTTGTAGGTAACCGCGATAACAGCTATTTCACTACATTACAGGATCATCGCAGCTCTACTCAGTTTAAGGGAAAAAAACATCTGTGGCGCCGAAACATCTCTTCCCATCGGGGTGTCCGCCACAACAATGTACTATTGGCACAGTCATAAAAACAACATAAAGTACAAACTTTACTATAATGCAAACTTTACTATAAAGAACCAACAAATATTAGTAACTTGGAATGCAAACACATGGATACATAGAAACATTATAAAGGAACATAAAAGCCTTTTTAACTGATAGGAAATGTTTTAGTGGGGTTTGTTATAGTGGAAACTACACGGGCATGTGTCTGTCTGTCCTCAACTATCTCACTAGACAAATTATCTTGTCCTGTAACAGTTTGGTTTGCATGACCTAGAATGGTCTTCAGCTGGACCCAGAAGAACAGCTGTCGGTTTTGGTCTGAAGGCCACTCTAGATAAGTCTTGGCTCTAAGCATTTTTCTCAGCCTATAGAACCGTTTTGGGAGATCCTCCAAGCTGACATTTTCCTTAACCACCAGGATGACATTTTCAAATGCATGTCCAATGTTCCTATGGTGGGCAAAGTAAAGCTCGTAATTGCACCATTCGCTGTTGACAAAACTGCGTGAGAGCACAAAGATGATCTTTTGGCTGTTTTCAATGTTGTCAATAATGTTGTCAATAATCCATCTCCCAGGAAGAAAATCCCTCTCATGTATGCATAGCCTGTAAGGTGGAGTGGAATTCTCCAAACGAGGTAGCAGCACTTCTCTCACCCAATCTGCATCCATACAGCTGTACGAGATGAAGGCATGATAGATATATGCTTTGTTGTCCTCTCTTTTTTTGGAGCGATATTTTGAACGGATAATTTTGCACGTGGCTCTCAGGTACCACGGAACATTATACTTCCAACATAACATCATGCAGATAATAACTACTACAGCAGTAACAGCCACTGATATAGCTACCACCAAACCCACATCACACTGTAATTTTCCAGGATTAAAATACTCAATTTTGGTGTCCACAAGGTTCTGTGGGTGATAGCAATAATAAGAATCTGGCCAGTCAAGTAGTGATATATTTTTATCGGAGAGGGTCTCTGTGATAAAGGCATATAAGTCACAATTGCAATAGTATGGGTTGTTTCCTGCAGTTAGATTTCGTAGACTCAGCAAATATTTAAATGAACCTCCATCAATAACCCCGAAAGAATTGCCTTCTAGAGCCAAAACTTCAATACTCAAACTCTTCCAACCTGTGGGTATAAATTTGATTTTATTGTTACGGAGAATCAATACACGCAGGTTATTGGCTTGGTTGAAATAACTCATATTTAAGCGCTCTAGCTGAGAATTAGACATGTCCAGATACTCCAGAGTAAGGGGCAGGCACGGAGAAATATCGTGAATCAATGCATTGTTGTGTAAAATAAGAGTTGTTATTTTAGAAGGCCATTTGCAAGACTCAGTGCAGCTCCCAATATTGTTAAAACTAAGATCAACAACGGAGAGGTTGGACCATGTGGTAATTAACAAAGAAATTGTTCTGAGGCTAGTCATTGTATTGTCACTAGCATTGAACGTCTTGATTGCAGGTAATGAAAGTTGGCAGGTTGGATTGTACAGATACCTGGCCAAAAGACGGTTTCCTGTGATGTTAAAGCTTTCTAAATTAGTCAAATGATTCCAAGCATCGCATGGGATGAAATTAAAATTAACATTGACGATGTGCAAATTTCTGATATTACTGAATTGGGTAAAAGTCCAATCAAACCTCAAAATATCTGGATTGGTAACATCCTGAATGATCAAGTTTTCCAGTGACAGATTTTCAGTTTTGTCGTCAGTCTTGTTGAAGTTTGGAGAACGGGCAAAGTCTACTGACAGCAATAAGAGATCATTGATATTAGATAGCTTCTCAATATTTTTCAAGACTAGATAAAGGAGGTACTCACTGAACTTCCCTCGGTAAAAGGTCAGTGAATCAACACCAACGTCATTTAAGCCAGAGAAAATATCCATGCTTTCTGTGTAATAAGTGAACTCGAACAAATTTCGAAAACGCATATTCTTAAAGGATTTCCCAGCCAAATCTTTTAGGATGAGAGGAAGAACATCTGCATACGTATCCAACGCAATATCAAACCATATATCACGTGTATTCACCACACTGAGTGCCCCAACTTCATAACCTTTTAGGCTAGACTGAGTTTTTAAGGAAAATCTTTCAAGTTCAATGTCCTTAATGGGTAGAAAGTCATCTTTCAAGATTGTCTTTATCATTGGGCCACCAAAAGATAACTCTTTGAGGTTCACCAATTTTTTAAAACCATTTCCAAGAGTGGAAGAATTAAAAAAATTATTGGACATTTTAAGGATTTTCAAATTCATAAGAGGCTCCAGCAGCTCTGATGGCATTTCAGTCAAAGAGTTATTAAACAAACTTAGGTTTTCCAGCAATATGTTTGTGTTGAAAGAATCATGGTCTATACTGGATATATTGTTGAAGTTCAAGTTTAAGATCCTTAAATTGGATAAATGATAAAAGTCCTCCTTTTTAATTTTGGTGAGTTTGTTCACGGACAGGTCCAGGTTCTCGACATCATGAGAGATATCTGTTGGAACTTGCTCAAGGTTCAGGCGAGAGCAGTCGACAATTTTCTTACCGATATCAATCTTACATGCACCCTCGGCAAGGTTAACGATCAGGAAACATATTAACAGAGTGCTCCCAGTGGGTTCAACCATATCTATGTTCTTCACATGCTCTATAAAAAGAAATATATATATTTTTAATAAAACACAAAATAAACTATGCACAAGACATTCAAAAGATTTACAAGATTTAGTTCATGGGGAACCGATGTAGCCTTAATGAAGAATCATGAGTCTGCTAATAGGGTTGTCATAACTTTAAACAACTAGACAATCTTGATGGGCCACCTGCAATATGGTGATTATGAGTGAGTAGGCAGAGCCAATCTATGGAGGTTGGCATGAGGGTAAAGAGAAACTTAAAGCTTCCAGGGGCAACAGATTCTAGTGGGTAATGCACTGAGCGGCAATTCCAAACTCAAAGCATTTCTCAGCCAAATACAGGTCCAGCTAAAATAATGTAATATAGTTATCATCATGTATTCAATAACAATGACATTAACACTCGGATTATGTTCTAACAAAATGTAATATTACCTACAGCACTGTGATCTGTTTGTAAAAGGACAGGAGCCAATCTCACTTTCTAAGTAAATTCTGGGCCCTTCTTACAATAAACCACCATGTGCTCGGCAATAGATTTTTCTCCTCAAGGGATTTAATCATGACCCTTTTTACAAAATAATTCCTTGTCACCTTATCCTGCTATTATCTGTTTTAGGTGGAAAACAAAGCTACAGTAAGAGAAATAAAAAGTAGGAGTAGTCAGTGAGTGTATATATAAAGCCTATTTATGCAGACCATTCAAGTCATAGAGAAGGCTACATGGGCTAGATTTAATCCAAGAAGCAGAAACTCTCATTGTGCTTTCTAACAAAGAATTAGCCAACCACCAAAAACCCCAAAATGTCCTTTCTTTAGATAGGATACTAAAGAGTTTGTTGCAGGAAATACTTTGCTGGGTAATTTGGCCTCACGTCACTCCTTAATCTAAATTGCAAGATTTAGGCAACAAAAAGTAATTTTAAAAACATTCTCCCGCTCAGCAATAGTGACTTTAGTCCTAATTTTACAATTTATTTTTCACTTGACTATATTTTAGCTTTTAGTGATTTAGCCCCAACAACTCCCCCTCTTGTTTTAAGGGAGATCTACATTTTAAAATCTTCTTCTATTGTTTCCTGTTGTACATTGGACAATACTGCAATATCCAGTAAAGTGTGCTGTTGTTTATTATAAACTGTTTGTGTCTGTATCAGATTGTTCCCATTTGCTTAGTACCATATTTGCTTAAATATAAGACGAGATTTTTTTCAGAAAAAAAAAACTTCTGAAAAATCGACTTTATCTTATAATCGACTTTGTTTTATAATCAAGGCTGACTGAGCAGAGTGTGGCTCATGGAGAGTGCAGGCATGCAGCTGACTGACCGTGGAGGCAGGCGGACGACTCCTGAGTGAGCGTGGAGGCGGCAAGGGAGCTGTAATTTCCCCGCTCTACTCCCTTGCATGATTCTTTAGTAATGCTGAAAGCTGGAATGTGACATCATTCTGGACCCACATCACTAAACAGCGCTGTAGGGAGCAGACCAAGGAGAATACAGCAGCCCGACTGAGCCCCAGGGAAAGACACATTAAAATAAAACAATTTGTGAATGTGAGTGTTGCAGTATCAGTGTGTGTTTTTGTGTCTGTCTGTCAGAGAGTGCACATGTGTCTGTCAGTGAATGTCTGTCTGTGAGTGTATCTCTGTCAGTGAGTGTGTGTATCAAATCAGTGTGTCTGTCAGTGCGTGTGAATGTTTAGGTGACCTGCCCTCCTCCACTCACATGGGAAGGGTTTTTACTCACCTTTTTTCCCACGCCGTGCTGGTGATGTCTCGGCTGGCCCCACCTCCATGGCTGAGATCATCAGTCTTGATGATCACAGCCATTTAATGCTTCCCCATAGGACGGCTTTGGGAGACTATTGTGCATGAACGACAAAATGCCATGCTGCGACCCATTAACTTCTCCTGATCAATGTATCCACTGTGCAGCACTGACCCAGGAAGCAAATCTAGAGGCCATCTATGTTACGGTCACTAGAGGTGTTACTAGGCAGCAATGTAAACACTGCCTTTTATCTGAAAATACAGTGCATTGAAAAACGTGACCACCACCACTGCTGGCAACAGAGGAACCTGGTGGATTGGGAGCAAGGAGCAGGGACTGGGATGTGAGATGCACTGTTTAAATGATGTTCGCGCGCAAGGTGCAGTTCAATGACATTCAAGAACATAGCTATATATACCGTATTTTCCGGCGTATAGGACAACTTTTTACCCCTGGAAAATCTTTTCCAAAGTGGGGGGTCGTCTTATACGCCGGGTATGCTAATGCTGCAGCCGCCTGAGCGCTCTATAGAGAGCGCTCAGACGGCTGCCACACTGCCTCTCTTACCTCCTCTTCCCTGTGCAGAGTGGGTGGCCGAGCTCCTCTTCGTCCTTTCAGTTCGGCCGGGAACAGGTAACTGAATCTCCTGTACTGCGCGGTACCCGGCCGGACTGACAGGACGAAGAGGAGCTCGGCCACCCACTCTGCACAGGGAAGGGGAGGTGAGAAGGAGGGAGTGGGGAGTAAAAAGAATGGAGAGTGGGGGTGGGGGGGAGAAAAAAAAATGGAGGGTGGGTGGGGAGTAAAAAGAATGGAGGGTGGGCGTGGGGGTGGAGTAAAAAAATGGAGGTGGGGGAGTAAAAAGAATGGGGGGTGTAAAACAATTGGGGGCGTGAATAAAAAATGGAGGGGGGATTAAAAATAATGGAGGGGGGATAAAAAAAGAATGGAGGGGGATTAAAAAAGAATGGAGGGGGGATTAAAAAAGAATGGAGGGGGAGATTAAAAAGAATGGAGGGGGGATTAAAAAAGAATGGAGGGGGGATTAAAAAGAATGGAGGGGCTTTAAATGCTATTTCAGATTATCATTATTTAAAGGACCACTCTAGGCACCCAGACCACTTCAGCTTAATGAAGTGGTCTGGGTGCCAGGTCCAGCTAGGATTAACCCATTTCAGAGAAACTGCTATGTTTACAAATGGGTTAATCCTTCCTCCAATTCCTCTAGTGGCTGTCTCATTGACAGCCGCTAGAGGCGCTTGCGTGATTCTCACTGTGAAAATCACAGTGAGAGCACGCAAGCGTCCATAGGAAAGCATTGTAAATGCTTTCCTATGCGACCGGCTGAATGTGCGCGCAGCTCTTGCCGCGCGTGCGCATTCAGCTGAATGGGAGGAACGGAGGAGGATCAGAGGAGGAGAGCTCCCTGCCCAGCGCTGGAAAAAGGTAAGTTTTTACCCCTTTCCTCTCCCCAGAGCCGGGCGGGAGGGGGACCCTGAGGGTGGGGGCACCCTCAGGGCACTAAAGTGCCAGGAAAACGAGTATGTTTTCCTGGCACTATAGTGGTCCTTTAATGTTTTGCTGTGTAGCTCTGTCTGCTCACTGTACATCATTGCTAATTTTTATTTGGTGTGCATTGGAAGAGGGGTAGTCTTATACGGCGAGTATATCCCAAACTCTATATTTTAACTTGAAAAGTTGGGGGTCGTCTTATACGCCCAGTCGTCTTATACGCCGGAAAATACAGTATATATTTATGTATTTCAATGTTCTTGGGTTTATTATGTGTGTGTGTGTGGGGGGGGGTCAAAATGTTTGTTTCTGAGTGTGTGTATGTGTGTCAGTGTGTGCATCTGAGTGTCAAGGTTTGTGTATGATATACTTTTCAGATAATCTGGTTGTTATGTGTTTTAAAGGGACACTGTAGTCACCAAAACAACTTTGGCTTTATGAAGCCATTTTGGTGTATAGATCATGCCCCTGCAGTCTCAGTGCTCAATTCTCTGCCATTTAGGAGTTAGATCACTTTGTTTATGAACCCTAGTTACACCTCCCTGCCTGTGACTTGCACAGCCTTCCTAAACACTTCCTGTAAAGAGTCATCTTAAGTTTATCCTTCCTTTATTGCAAGTTCTGTTTAATTTAGATTTTCTTATCCCCTGCTATGTTAATAGCTTGCTAGACCCTGCAAGAGCCTCCTGTATGTAATTAAAGTTCAATTTACAGAGAAAGAGATACAACTGTTCAAGGTAAATTACATCTGATTGAAAGTGAAACCAGTTTTTTTCATGCAGGCTGTGTCAGTCAGAGCCAGGGGAGGTGTGGCAAGGGCTGCATAAACAGAAACAAAGTGGTTTAACTCTTAAATGGCAGTGAATTGTGCAGTGAAACCTGAGAGGCATGATCTATACACTAAAACTGCTTCATTAAGCTAAAATTGTTTAGGTGACTATAGTGTTCCTTTAATGATTAAATAATATTTTATGGCACAAACTGTGGATTTGATTTTTTCCCCCATCACTTAGTCTTATATTCAGGACTTTTTTTTTTTCTTTTTTCAAAATTTGAAGGGTCGTTTTATAATCTAGCAGATACAGTAAGTAAATATTCTCACTCGTTTTAATCTCTCATTCCCGAGATGCATACGTTTACTAATTATTGATATTTGTATTCTTGCTTTTTCAATAAAAACAATAATTATCACAATGGCCATCTTAGAATGACCTCCCTGAAGGAAGCCAAAATTATGGTTGCTCCCAAGGCACGAACATTAAATTTGTTTGTGTTTAGTTTATTTTCTAAACACTGAGTTAACAATGGACTATTAAAATGTAAGCGGAAATAGCCAAATTAGAAAATTAATTCCATCTCAACTGATTTGCGGGTTTTACAGTCTATTTTAGCCTTAATTTTGCAATTAATTGCAAATTTACCAGAGCCAACAGTTTATTCTGCAAATTTGTAAAAACATTCTCTCTATCTTAATAGATATTATTTAATAAGGTCACAGTTGTTATGGTGCCTAAAGTCACACTACTATATTTAATCTTTCTGTCATCTCATTTTTCATGGTGTTGGTCTCAAAAGTATTGTAACCTGAAATAAATACACACTTCTGTAGGACTAGTAAACAGTGTTGGGCTAGAGGCGTTGAGTACTTAAAAGAGGTTTGCCCGGTGAGCGCCGGCCCCCCCATGCTGCAGCCGCCCGAGCGCTCTGTAAAGAGCCTCAGGCGGCTGCAGCTTTGCCCGGGCGCAACCACCTGGGCGCAACCTGAGGAGAGGGGCTGACAGGAGGGAAGCGCTCAGCGCTCCCTCCTGTCACTCCCTCAGGTGTAGCGTGGCCGAGCCCTGCATCATGATGGTCCGACGGGTACAGAGTGTGCACTTCCTGTTAGTCCGGCCGAGTACAGGAAACAAAAGCAACCTGTACTCGCGGACCATCATGATGCAGGGCTCGGCCATGCTACAACAAAGGTAGGGGGGGAGGAGAAAGAAATTGGGAGGGAAGCGGGGAGAAGAAATGGGGAGGGGAGTGGGAGGGGGTAAGAAGAAATTGTGAGGGGAGGGGGGGTAAGAAGAGCCAGGAGGGGAGGGGGAGAATGAAACTGGGAGGGGGGGTAAGAAGAAACTGGGAGGGGGGGGGTAAGAAGAAACTGGGAGGATGGGGAGAAGAAATCAGAGGAAGAAATTTTGAAGGGAGGGGAGAAGAAATTGAGGGGGGGGCAAAGAAATTGGGAGGGTAGGGGGTAAGAAGAAATTGGGAGGGAGGGGGGGAGAAGAAATTGGGAGGGGAGGGGGTAAGAAGAAATTGGGAGGGGGGAGGAAGAAACTGGGGGAGGGGGAGAAGAAACTTTGAGGAGGGGGGGGAAGAAACTGGCAGGGGAGAAGAAATTGGCAGGAGAAGAAATTGGGAGGGGGTGGGGGGGTGGATGGGAGAAGAAATTGGGAGGGTGGGGGAAGAAGAAATTGGGGAGGGGAGGGGGGGGGATGAAGAAATTGGGAGGGGGGGAGAAGAAATTGGGAGGGGGGGGGGAGAAGAAATTGGTAGGGAGGGGAGAATGAATTGGTAGGGGGGGGGGGAGAATAAATGGGGAGGGTGGGATAAAAAAGAAATTGAGAGGGAAGGGGGGAGAAGAAATGGGGAGGGTGGGAGAAGAAGAAATTGGCAGGGGAGGGGGGAGAAGAAGAAATTGGTAGGGGAGGGGGGAGAAGAAGAAATGGGGAGGGGAGGGGGGGAGAAGAAGAAATTGGTAGGGGAGGGGGAGAAGAAGAAATTGGTAGGGGAGGGGGGAGAAGAAGAAATTGGTGGGGGGGAGAAGAAATTGACGGGGGTGAGAGTGACAGGGGAGGGAGGGGCAATGAGAGTGGGAAGGGGGAGGGGAGAAGAGAGTGACAAGGGAGGGGGGAGAGATTGACATCCATCACACACACATGCAATGCACCCCTTGCACACAGAAAAACACACAATGCATTACACACACACACACACAAACAATGCAACCCTTACACACAATGCATCCCTTACACACACAGAAACACACAATGCATTCCTTACACACACTCAATGCACCCCTTACACACACTCAATGCACCCCTTACACACGCACACACTGCATCCTGTACATACACAGAAACACACCTTGCAGCCCTTACACATACAAACACAGATTCACACAATGCATTCCTTACACACATATCAGGACATCCCCTACACACTCCACCCCCTGTGAACAAACTCATTGGTGGAACATGAAGGTGGACCCTGGGACCCAGACCTTGAGCTGTGTAAAGGGCCCCCCAAAAATGGAGCTGCTTCCCGTTCTCCCAGAATATTGATTTTTGTGACCACAGTTACAAACCGCCTCCAGAGAGCCTGTTCTACACCAAACCAGTGGAGCCAGACTGCAGCTAGAGCCCATCATCATCCTCATCTGGTTGTAAGTAGGCAATCTAGTATATTATTCGTGGGACTAATCTCCAGTTTACCTCACATTAAAGAAACACTATAGTCCCCAGAACCACTGCAGCTTAATGTAGTTGTTCTGGTGTCTATAGCCTGTCCCTGCATGCCTTATAATGTAAACACGGCGGCACTGCAGCACTGGCGTTAGTTAACATGGCAGGTCATATGGGTGGAGCATTGTGATGTCACATAGGGGGGGCGGCAAACTTTACTTTTGCCTTGGGCGGCAAAAATCCTTGCACCGGCCCTGGTCATAGCCTGTGTTAAAAACATAACACGGTGTGACAACATGACAGCAATACTTCTCAAAGAACCTGCAGCATTTATTAAAAATAAAAATAGTGTGAATGGAATAAAAAAAAACAAAAAAAAAACCACAAATTATATTGTATGGTAGACAGACAAATATATATATATATACACACAAACATATACATATATATATATATATTTATTATTATAATTTTTTTTAAACTTCTTAAAATACCAATGACTTTGAAGAGGTATGTATACATATATATATATATATATATATATATATATATATATATATATATATATATATAAAATATTGATAGAAAAATATATTTTTTTAAAGAATGTGGTTTTACATGCTTGCCAACTCAAAACTAAATCAGATCACCCGTGCTGTTATGTAAACACTGCCTTTTCTCCAAAAAGATAGTGTTTACTGCAAAATGCCTGCAAGGTCTGACTATACTCACGAGAACTAACTTGATAAAGGCTCAGAGGGGAGCCGAAATGTTGTCTCCACTCCCTTGTTTCAAATTAAAAAAAGACTGCTTTTTAGAAGAAACTGCGGGTGTGCCTGGATATTTCTTTTCTTCCATTTGATATAATCACCAGAATTACTACATCAAGCTGTAGTTGTTCTGGTGACCATAGAGTCTCTTTAAGGTTTGTTAGAGGGTTTTTGTTCTGCCCCCCCCTCCACATCTGCCCCCCCCCTCCACACCGGGACATGATCAAGATTCAAGACTAAAAATTTGAAAATGAAAATGGCAACGTTATCACCCGAAACATATTAAAGAAGTTATTTGGGCAATTTTCTCTTTCAACAGGCAATGTTATAGTTGCAAAAATGCAATATACCCCACGTGGAATTTGTCATAAAGAAGCACCCAGACGCACACAGAGATAATTAATGATCAATCTGAATGTATTTCCTTAAAATCAAATTGTGGCTTTTCATGAATTGCAACATTTTAGCCTATAATAAAAGAACAGAGTGTGAGAATTTTCCTAATTTGGCAATATTTAACTAAAATTTGCCAACCCACTACGAGTATGGTGAGGAAAAAAAAACCCATTAAAAATCATAATAAATGGGGGGGAAAAAAAGTGGTTTATTCACGGAATCAAGAATGGTGCAACTTGAGCAATTCTCCAACTGAGCTGACAGGATAAATTAACAATAGTGAAAATAAGTAACAAAATTAATACATTTAAAAAAATTGAAAAAATAAATTATATATATATATATATATATATATTATACAATCATACAATTCTATGTCTAGGACTAGTAAATATTTTAATTGTGAGCATTTTCTGTTCTCATCTTTGAAATGTCCTCTGTGTGCTCTTAGCACAAGAACTCCTATCATTCTTACTTTGCCTCTACTGTATAAGCGGCTATCTGGCTAATTCCTAGCATCCTCAGCCTACTGCTGTTCCTGGGGAAGGCAGCTGACTGGTTAAATTCTAAACACACGCAGTCTGTCTCTGTTCATTGGGAGATCAGTTAGCTGGCTAACTCCTAACACCCTCAGCCTAGCCTGCAGTAAATCTTAATACACGTCTGGCACTCACCTGTTGTAGGTCCTTATGGTCTCTGTGGCCCAACGTTATGCCCAGTGCTGGCAGTGCTGTCCCTGGCTGGAGGCTGCTAGCAGTCTGTCACTGCACTGACTCTCCTGCCCAGCTAGTAGAGGTGTGTCTCCCAACTCCTGCCCAGCACAGAAACATCACTTAATTTTTACCTTTGTTATGACATTTTTGCTTTGAGACTACCTATTATTGTGTAAATTTCCTTAGCTTTCCTGTTTATCCAGTAGCATTCAACCTGTATTTTGTATGTACCAGCAGCCTCCATTTGTATGCAAAATACTTTACTAGGGCTTGTCAAGTCTTACTCTCACGACTGTCATCTCAGACTGGCTGCCTGAGAATAATAGTGTGATTCCTGACAGCATGCTCAGTTAATGCCAAATTTGTGTTGAAATTGTGTTGCTTTTTCAAAACGTTAAATGTACAGAATATCGGCACCAATTGTCAGCAAGTAGTCCAAAAGGCGTCCAAAAATCTGCATCAGCGGAGGCTCTGGAAAAATAATATTGGCTTTTCCTTACTTTATATAGATAGTCTTCATTTTAATGGACAATTAAAAATGAATGCTTAAAAATGGCACTTGAACTATTCCTAATATGAATTAAAAAAAAATTTTTTTAATGCAAATCATTAAATATCTGTAAAACCACCCATCCATAGAAAATCTGGAATGATTTGTCCTCAGCTCTCTGTGAGAAGCATTCGATAGGACAACGCCAGGAACCGACATGGAAGTAAGTGCCAGGAACAAGAGATGGACGATCTTCGTAAACTGTAGAGAACAGTTCTGGGGCTAATCCAAGGTAAGTTTGTAGGACTTAAGAAATAAAAGCAAATGTAATCGTAATTACATTTATAGAAAAGAATAACAAAACATACATTTTTTTATTAGATTTACCTTTACATCCGTGTGGCAGATATCCCTTGCGATTTAGGGTGGTTTGTAACGTCCTCATGTACGTTTATCTTATCAAACCACACATTTCTGATGCAAAGTTCTCAACATTTACATACAAAATTCGTGGAGGTTTTTGTCAGTGACATTTGCTTTAAAATTAAGTGAATTTTGCTCAGCTTTGACAATGGAGCACCATTCTGATGCCTTTTGACATGCAACTATTTTTAAACAAAAAAATCTTTCCGTCCATTAAAAGAGAGGTTAAAGGAACATGTTAGGTCTCCGAGGAATGCTGTTGACACTCCGATCTCAAGGCACCTGAGGGAATGCCATTCAGGGGATTCAAAAACGTCCTTGCCAATCTAGGTCCCTCTTCCCAAAGGCTCTCACCAAACCCCCTCAGCATAATCCTCTTCCTTTTGGGCACCCCACCAGCTGGCTTTTCGCTCGATGGTGCCCGACCATAATGCTCCCCACCGGTCGGCTTTCAACCCAGTGGGGACATGTCCAACCTGGTACCCCTTCAGGTTCACCATAAGAGGTAGGGAGAGGATGGGACCCGGCCATTATCCCCCTTATTCATCTAGCCTGCAAACCATCTCCCCTTATTTGGCAAGGACATGCCCCCACCACAAACCCTGCTGTTTTAAGCCTAAAATCAGTGGGGGTCCCCACCCAAACCACCCAGGGCCTGTTCCACCGCCTCTTGGAGTGCCAGATTAAAGAAGTCGAGCCCGACCTCCGTCAGATGCACCCCATCCGGTCGAAATAAATTCGCTACATCCTTCTCAAAAACCTGATGCTGAATGGAGATCCCCCCAACCCCCGCAATAAACTTTGCAATCCGCCAATTAAACTTTTTGTGGTAGCGCTCCATCGCACTCTGGCTGTGGGCCTGCCGCCAATAGTGTCTCGCCACTACCTCAGACCAAATTAAAGGACCACTCTATGCACCCAGACCACTTCAGCTTAATGAAGTGGTCTGGGTGCCAGGTCCCTCTAGGGTTAACCCATTTTTTTTATAAATATAGCAGTTTCAGAGAAACTGTTATGTTTACAAATGGGTTAATCCTTCCCCCAAAGCCTCTAGTGGCTGTCTAATTGACAGCCGCTAGAGGCGCTTGCGTGCTTCTCACTGTGAAAATCACAGTGAGAGCACGCAAGCGTCCATAGGAAAGCATTGATAATGCTTTCCTATGCAACCGGCTGAATGCGCGCGCAGCTCTTGCCGCGCGTGCGCATTCAGCCGACGGGGAGGAATGGAGGAGGATCGGAGGAGGAGAGCTCCCCGCCCGGCGCTGGAGAAAGGTAAGTTTTACCCCCTTTCCTCTCCCCAGAGCCGGGCGGGAGGGGGACCCTGAGGGTGGGGGCACCCTCAGGGCACTATAATGCCAGGAAAACAGGTATGTTTTCCTGGCACTATAGTGGTCCTTTAAGGAGACACTAGGGAACAGGATCAAGATCTGGGACAAGTCCCTCCTGACCATGTCCACCAAGCCCCTGACCGCCACGGTTCCCAGGTCGTTGCCCCCCAAATGGACGACTAACACAGATGGTGCCCCAAGCAAGCGGACGAGCCTGACCAAGTCAGGGAGGAGCCGGACCCACCTCATGCCCCTGGCGCCAAACCACCATACCTCCATGTTTGAAGGCGTGAGACCGAAAAGCTTCCCCCGGCCATACTGCCGCTCTCCGCCGTGTCCAATGGATATAGGAGTGTCTGATCAACCAGACCCTGCGGGAGACCGAACCTGAGGAGAAAACAAAACATCTATCTCAAGAGACCGGCAGGACGCACATAAGATACAAACCTCCTGGATTCCCACCTCCCTATCCTCTGTACCTCCTGATCCGGCATACCCAGCCGAGAAGCCTCCATCGCTGCGCCAATTCGGAAGGAGTGCCCACCAAACTCTGCACCCTCCAAGCCCAACGCAGCCAACCTTAAACGAAAAACCCTGACAAACTGAAAATGGGAGAGGAAGCTTCCATCCTCGTGCACTAGCAGCGGGCCAGCCAGGGCAGGGCAAACCTCGCAAAAACACCGAAAGGACAGGCCTCAAACTCGTGCCATTCCACCCATACCTTTGAGTATCTGGTCCAAGTGGAACTAGACACCGACCCTCGAACCAGATCCATCAGCCTGCCGAGCCCAGGGACCACATCTCCACCGAACAGACGGCACTCCGTGGCCACTGAATCTCGATGCCCAAGAAGCTAAGGCACATCACCGGACCAACCGTCTTATCATGCACAAGGGGAACCCCGAAGTGCCCAAAAACCCTTTCCACCGTGTTGAGCAAGCTCCTACATGCCTGAGAATGCGCTGGGCCCACACACAGGAAGTCATCAAGATAGTGCAGCAGTGAGACGATCCCCAACTCCTGCCGCACCACCCACTCCAGGAAAGTGCTGAAGCACTCGAAGTAAAAACAGGATATGGCGCACCCCATCGGGAGGCACATATCCACATAGTACTGGCCCCCGAAATTACAACCGAGGAGGTGATGGCAATCCGGGTGCATGGGCAATAAGCGAAACGCCGATTCTGTGTCTGCCTTCGCCAGCAATGCCCCAGGGCCCGCCGCCTTGACCATGCGCACAGCTGAGTCAAATGAAGACACCCGACACAGCTCGGCAGGTATATCATCATTCACCGAACCTCCGTGAGGGTACGACAAATGGTGAATTAGGCAAAATTTCCCCGCCTCCTTCTTGGGCACCATGCCCAAGGGAGACACATGCAAATTGGGTAGCGGAGGGACGTCAAACGGCCCCGCCACCTGCCCCAGCGAAACCTCCTTCAGGAGCTTGTCCAGGACCACATCAGGAAAATCAAACACTGATTTCAGGTTCTGCACCGCCTCGGAGGAGGGGTGCTCCGAGAAGGGAATCCAGAACCCATGGACAAACCCCTCCAGTAGCAACCCCGCAGCCCGGCGATTCCTATAACGGGTGAGCCAGGGGCACATCTTGTCCACGACCACCGGCGTCTTTGCCCTTGGTCCCCAGGTCCACTTTGTCCCCTGTCTTACCCCGCTTAAAGCAGCGTGATGCCGAGCAACCTCCCTCGCAATGGGAGCACTCATGCCTAAAACGGCAGGTCGCACCCCACTTGCATTGACTGTCATTGAACTTCCAACAACAGCCAGGCCGTCGATGTGAGGCAGATGGGGCAGAGCCACCCCCCCTACCGCCTCACCCAAGAAAGGACGACAACCCCCCTTGGTGTGCCGCTGGGCGAGTCATGATGTAAAGCTATAGGCCAATGTCCATCTGATACCAAGAGATAGAGGGGTGAACTGCCCCCATCATAGTGCCACCAACCCAGGCCACCATAGGTCTGACAAGCCTTCTAAATGGTGTCCTGGTAGCAAAACAGCGCTGAGCAATGCTGGGGAGCCTTCTCCCCAATCACGTTCGCCAAGATGGAGAACACCCGAACCCAGTTCCCGAAAGTTTGTGGAATCTTCCTATAATGAAACTTCTCTTTATCCTTGTCCGACTCCTTCCCATCCTTGTCCCCCAGAGGAGGGGCATCCTCCAAGGGCAACAGGGAAAACATCTCTACAAATTCCCCTTTCCAGATCTTTTCCCTAATTTCGGGCTTCAGATGTAAGCCCAAGGGGCCCGACCAGCACATATATGCTGCCCCTTTTGCCACGTCAGCGACACCCGCCCTATCCTCCAGAACCCCTAGGTCACCCTAGGTCGTAGCCACATTACCACTAATTACCGCGCCTGAAACAGAACTTGCCCCCCTCCCGTTGATGAACCCGCCTGGGGAAGAGGAGAGGACCACACCGAACGCAGCTGACCATCCAATCCCTGGCATCCCTGCACTAGCGCACCTCGCTCCCACTGGGAAAGCAGATCCCGCAAACCCGACATGAACCCACCTAGCGTGGATGCCCAAGCAAGCACAGGAACAATGGACTCACCTGACGGCGCCCCAGGACCAGCCGGCGGCACCAGAGCGGAAGCTGAAACCTGGGAAGTGGATTTCAGAGCTTACTCAGCAGTTTCCATGGTCACAGGAGCTCCAGATGCCATCTGGTGGACAGATCCGGCAACTGCACCCAGAGCCTGAGGAAGCAGTGGAGAGACGGTGAGACCACGCCCCAGGACAGGAGGCTGCTGAGACAGGTAAGGAGAGGGAGGGGGGGGGACCCCTGGGACAGGTGAGACCAAGAGGGCAGAGCAGGAGA